TGCCTTGTCTACTTGCCATTCTTTTGGAAAAGATATTAGTTTATTTATCAGAAAGCCTGTTATGCCCTTTCTCCTCCAAGATGGAACTATATAAATCAGAGCAAAAAATTGTTGAAATTGTATATTATTTGAAACTTCTATTCATTTTTTTCCTTGCCTATATCCAGAGACAAACTGCAGAATGTCAAGTACATGACAAAATTGGATGAAGCTTCTCTTCTGAAAAGATGTTGTTGACTTATTGGACCCTGTTAGCAGACCCAAAGGAACAGTATGACGTTGTAGGATAGGGTCCCACAACCTTTGGTTTTCTCAACAGCATCTTGTTCTTAAACATTATTTCCAGTATTCCTGTGGTGTTAACCTTGAATGTTTTTTCTCCTTTTTTTTTTCTGATTTTTTTCCACTAGGGATTTTGAACAACCAATGTTTAATGGATTAATATAGACAATTCTATTAGTCAGAGTTTTCCAGAGAAACAGATCAATAAAATATGTAGAGGCCAGGCATGGTGGTTCACACTTAGAACCCCAGCAGTTTGGGAAGCCAAGGCAGGAGGATTGCTTGAGCTCAGGAGTTCAAGACTAGCCTGGGTACCACAGTCAGTCTCTACAAAAAATAAAAAAATTAGCCGAGCATGGTGGTGCTTGCCTGTAGTTCCAGCTACTTGGGAGGCTGAGGTTGAAGAATTGCCTGAGCCCAGGAGGTCAAGGCTGAAATGAGCTGTGATTGTGCCATTGCACTCCAACCTGGGTGACAGAGTGAGACCCAAACTTAGAAAAGTAAAATAAAATAAGATAAAAGTAAAGTAAAGAAAGAGAGAGATTGAGATTTGTTGATTTTTTTTTTTTTTAAGGAATCAGCTTCCATGCTTGTGAGTGTTGGCAAGCCTAGAATCTGTGGAGCAGGAGCTGGAGACTTAGGTTAGGCTTGATTTGTTATTTTGAGTGTGAATTCCAAAGGGCAGCAGGCTGGAACTGAGGCAGGGTTTCTATGTTACAGCACTGAGGAGAATTCCTCCTTCTACGGGAAACCCAAGTCTCTGCCCTTGAGACCCTCATCTGACTGGGCGAGCCCCATCCACATCATGGGGAGTAATCTGCTTCACCCAAAGTCTACTGATTTAAATTTTAATCATATCTTCACCATAATGCGTAGACTGGTGTTTGACCAAACAACTGAGCATCATAGCCTAGACAACTTGATGTGAAAAAGTAACTATCAGTCACATGGTGATTATGGTGAATATCCTGAGCAATTTCAGAAGAAAATTGAGACAAAACACAAACCACACATATAGGGATGGTGCTCCTGAAATAAAGTCCAGGTGTGGTCCCAAACTGTGTGGTCTTAATTGAAGGCAGACTTCCAATCAGCGTTTTGCTATCAAAATTCAGTCTGCCGAATTGTTTGTGTTTGGTCTCTATTGTATTTCAAAAGGATAAATGCAATGCCAATATTTAAAAATTGGGAAGGCCGGGCTCAGTGGCTCAGCCTATAATCCCATCACTTTGGGAGGCTGAGGCGAGTAGATTGCCTGAGCCTACCGGTTCAAGACCAGCCTGGGCAACTTGGCGAGACCTCATCTCTCCAACAAATCAAAAAAATTAGCTTGGCGTGGTAGTGCACGCCTGTAGTTCCGGCTACTTGGAAGGTTGAGGCGGAAGGATCGCTGGAGCCCAACAGGTCAACACTGGGGTGGCTGTGATTGTGCCACAGCACTCCAGCCTGGGCAACAGAGTAAGACTCCAACTCAAAAGATAAAAAACAAAAATAAATAAAAATTGGGAAAAGGGAATTTCATGGAGGTAGAGAGTTGGTTGGTGGTTACCAGAGGATAGATTAGCTAATGGGTACAAAAATACAGTTAGACAGAAGGAATAAGATATAATGTTTGATAGTGAAATAGGATGACTATAATTAACAGTAATTTCTTGTATAGTTCAAAATGGCTGGAGGAGAGGAATTAGGATGTTTCCAATGCACAGAAAGAGCAAATGTTTAGGGAGCTGATATCCCAATTGCCTTAGTTAGATCAGTACACATTATAAGCATGTATTAAAATATCACACACACCCCCCAAATAAGTATAACTATTATATACCACTTAAAGAATTAAACTATAACTAAGGAAAAAATAAAATACCTTCTATGCTCAAGCTATGTTTTCCTCTGCAGTTCTATAGCATTTACTCTTGGTCCCATTCTGTCTAGTTTTAACAACTCATTGTTTGATATTCTGATAACCTACTAAACACTTGAATGAATTTCAAAAAATAGAAAAATTCGCAGCAATAAAATCTAGACTTTTTTACTTCTCTTGGAAGATCTGCTGGCAGGGTTCTCATTCTTACTTAGCAGTGATTGACAGCGAGAAGTATTTATCTCGTTCATACACAAACTTCCTGTTGGGCTGCTGTCCTGATGTTACCTGAGAAGCTCTTGTTGGCATTTGAGATGATGACCCCCTGCCATAGGGAAGAGAGAGATCATGTGGGCTGGTAAGGGTCTCTGGGGGCCCCAGCTTAGCCTTGGCTGGGATTTACATAAGCAAAGTGAAAAGGTGATATTTCAGGTGACCTTAAAAGAAAGAAGCAAAGAGGCATAGAGTGTAGGTGAGGAAGCTTGTCAAACCGAAAGAACTAGCCTGTGAGTTTGGGTATAGGAGCAAATATGGCTGACTTGTCAGACAGGAGCTAGGATGTTAATTAAGGCAACATTGTTCTTTTAATGATTAAACTTCAAATTCTTTTTGCCTTAAAACAATGAAGTATTTCTTGTGTATGTGAAACCCAAAGTAGATGTTCCTAATGGGTGAATCTTTTAAGCAGTGATTTAGGGGTCCAGGCTCTTTCTGGTTTGTGCCTGTGCTATCTTCAGCACATGACTTCTAAAGTCACAGCAGCCGGGCATGGTGGCTCACGCCTGTAATCCCAGCACTTTGGGAGGCAGAAGTAGGAGGATCTCTTGAGCCCAGTTCGAGACCAGCCTGGACAACATATTGAGACTTTGTCTCTACAAAGTATCAAAAAATTAGCCAGGCATAGTAGTGCACACCTGTAGTCCCACCTACTTGGGAGGCTGAAGCAGGAGGATCACCTGAGCCCAGGAGTTCGAGGCTGCAGTGAGCCATGATCAGGCCACTACACTCCCGCCTGGGCAATAGAGTGAAACCTCAACTCAAAAATAAAAATAAAAATATCATAGCAGATAAAAAAAGAAGACAGATTACGGTGGGTTTCCATCGACCAGACCTGGAAGTGGTACATATCCTTTCTGCCTGCATTTCACTGGTCACACCCTACCGCAAAGGAAGGCAGGGGAAGTAGAGCCTGGTTATGTTCCCTGTGTAAGAGAAGAAACAGGCCTGGTGAGTAGCTAGCCAGTCTCTAACATGAGAGACAGGGCATTAGAGTTAAGCAGGCAACAGCTGCCGTAAGCAGGTGTAGGACATTAATTAATAAATTTAGCATATACTTACTTACCTACTTCTATGTGTTGTATACTATGCTATATGCCAAGTAGGATTTGTGAGCTAAGGAGCAACATGGTGAAAGCAGTGTTTTGAGAAATCAGTCTGGGGCAGAGTATAAAACAAGAAAAGGCAAATTCTAAGTCTGAGAGGATGTGAGGAAACTGTTGTTTTTCTCTAGCTGAGAGCCAATGAGATTGCCGGGATACATAGCAATATTAATAGTATCCAATAGGGGCCAGGCTCGGTGGCCCAGCCTAAAATCCCAGCACTTAGGGAGGCCAAGGAGAGTAGATTGCCTGAGTCCGTGGGTTTGACACCAGCCCAGGCAACTTGGTGAGACCTTGTCTCTACAATAAAATAAAAAAATAGCCAGGCATGGTAGCACATGCCTGTAGTTCCAGCTACTCAGAAGACTGAGGCGGAAAGATCACTGGAGCCCAGAAGGTCAACGCTGGGGGTAGCCATGAGCATGCCACTGCACTCCAGCCTGGATCAAGGAGTGAGACTCCAACTAAAAAAAAAAAAATAATATCAATAACACTAATAGTTACTACATGCTGTGCAGTGTTACAAACAACTCTACATGTACTTAGCCATCGCTCAAATGTATGATATAAGTGCTATTATTATTTTTCTTTTCTTGATGGAAAAGCAAAATTTCAAATGATTAAATAATTTGTCCATATTCACGTAAATCTTGGCATGGCCTGAGGATTTAGGAAGTTGGTGTTATTTTGTAACTACTATAGAATTAATAAAATGAGAATAAAACTAATGGAAACATTTTGAGTTTAGGTGACCAATAAGGAAATCTCTATTATTGATTTGAGAAGCACACTGTAGCTTGTGAAAAGCGTTTAATAATCTGAAGAAGAAAAAGAAGTGAAATTGGAAAAACTACCTGTTAAGAAATCTTACTCTTCTTGGGCACACTTGATTGGATTTAGAAAACTTCTAGTGAGAGTTTTGGTAATTTCTGGGCTGCTTAAGAATATGACATCTTTGGCTGGATGGTCTGGCTCATACCTGTAATCCTAGCACTTTGGGAGGCTGAGGTGAGAGGATTGCTTGAGTCCAGGAATTCAAGACTAGCCTGGGCAACATAGTGAGATCTTTTGGGCTTGGTGGTAGACACTTGGAGTCCCAGCTACTCAAGGTACTGAGTTGGAAGTATCACTGAGCCCAGGAGGTTGAGGCTACCATGAGCTGTGATTGTCATGATCATGCCACTGGTACTCTGACTTGGGCAACAGAGTGAGATCACAACTCAAAAACAAATAAAAAAATTTTAAAAAAGAATATGATATCTTTGTTAACCAAACTCAAAAATGAATCATTTGCTATCATGAATTATTTATTCTAATAAATATTCCAGAACCCCCGTTTCTTTGTCTCATGTCTTTATTATGATTTTAACAGATATACTTTCAAACAATACACTTGATAATAAGTGTGTGGCATTTCCAGAAATATTTATAAGCACCAGAGACTTGAGTTTGCTGATGTGACATTCTGTCTTTGGCAGTTGACTGTTGGGATGGCCCAGATGGAGAGCCAGTGGTACACCATGGGTATACTCTCACTTCAAAGATTCTCTTCAGAGATGTGGTGGAGACCATCAACAAACATGCTTTCGTGAAGAATGAGTAAGTACGGCGACCCTGAGCTAAGAATGCACCCCCATGTGGAGTGCTGCCTGGTACAACGTGTCTCCAAAGTCACCCACGCTTCCTAGACTCTGTACCTCTCTTTCTGCTACCCTAAATCCCTCCTTCCTTCTCAGCAAAAAGTTATGAACAAGTAAGGTGGACTCCCAGTTTGTTCTTTCTCCTGCTCCATTGATTTCTTTCCTGGTCTTTGTCAGCCTGCCTCTTAAAGACCTTCTTGCAGAGTGGCCTCTAAGTTTCGAAAGCCAGGGTGTAGAGTGTGTCTGTAAAGTCTAGAAACACAGACTGCTGTATACATAATTAATAGTTTTTTGCTATTGCATTACAATACTGTAAAATGATAATATCCAGGGTTTTAGACATGCTAGATGAAGTATCTGGCATCTTTATGTTACTTGACCCCTCCTTGGCATTTGATAATGGTATTTCCTCTCTAATACTTGCCTTTTTTGGCATCCATTGTATCATTCTCTCCTCCATGGCTGTTATTGCTTCTTACTCTCTTTTTTGGTCTGTGGTCTTTTATTCCATTTTCTCACTCCTTTAATGGTTACTATTTCCTAAGGTTTTGCCCTTAGTCTATTTTTTGGATATTTATCCAATTATCCAGAACTTCTTCCCTAAGTTCTATATGTACATAGAAAAATCTTCAGTGAATATTCCCCTTGAGTATCGCATAGGTAGGGAAGTCACAACAGTCAGCAGAAGATAGGACTCCTGCAGCCATTGGGCTCACACCCCAAACGGAACCCACATCTTATTCTGCCAAACCTCTTGCTTCTCACTCAATTTCCTTTTAGTTAGGGGCAAGACTGTCTACCAGAGGCTGCCGCCAAAAACTGAGAGTCATTCTAGATTCAACCAGTCCTTGTCAATTCTACTTCCCCAGTTATCTTTTGACTTCATTGCCTTCTCTCCATTTTATTTCCCCTCTGGTTCATCCTCCACATTGGGGTTGTAGTTTTCTTTCTGAACTATAAGCATGATGTTGTCATTCTTGTCTTAAGAGTCCGCCAAGAGCTCCCTGTAGTACATAGGCACGTCTTCGTGCCCTTCAAGACCTGGCCTCTCCCTTCCCTTCCAGTGTCTTCTTCCACCATTGCTCCACAGAGACTTAGGATTCTGCCTTCAATGACTAGTTTTCGGCCTCCCCACCCTTGATATGCTGTTCTCTCTGCCTGGAACACCCTTCTCCATCATTCTACCTGCCCCATTCTTGCTTATCCTACAAGACCTTTTTAGCATTATCCCTCTGGCAACAATGATACCTCCAGCTGATTTAAATCTTCTTTTTCTCTGTATTTAGTGCCTTGAGCAGAGGTCTGTCAGATAGTATTGCACCCTCTTACAGTTGTCGGTTGTTTACCTTTCAAATCTCTCATTAAAAATATGAGGCAATGTCTTATTTATTTCTTATTCATTCTTTGTTGTCTAACAAAGCCATTCATGAATGAGTTTTTGAATTAAAAGAAGCAAATTAAAATTACAATTGCGTAAAAATTAATTTCTTAGGAGTTAATAGCCTTTAAAAATTTTAATATTTGTTCTTCTCATTAATTAACCATGAGGTTAAAATGCTTTTTTAATAGGACATACTTGCTGCATAGCAGGTTTGGCTTATGGTGGCTTCCAAGTAGAAGGATCTCAAGCACTGAATTCTAGTGGGTCTTCACAACCCTGGTTTCTACTAGTCTCAGCCAAGTTAATGAAGTCATTTTGCCTTTATTTCCTAATATATGAAAGAGGGTGCTGAGAAGACCTGCTACCTATGAACCTTGGGGTATCCTCTGGTGACTGGACAGTTTACTTCAAGTTTGCAAACACTTAAGAGAAAAGCACTTCAGGTTAAAACAGTTAATAAGCCTGTTTAGTACAGTGTAAAAGTTTGGCCTTTTTCTCTTCTTTCTTAAATTTTAGTTGCATCTTTACCCCAGGGTTTCCTAACCTTGGCACTATTGGGATTTTGGGCCAGATAATTTTGAATTAGTTGTAGACAGTGGTCTTGTGGATGGTAGGATAATGAGCAGCATCTTTGGCTTTGACTTACGAAATGCCAGTAGCACTCCTTGATTTGAGACCACCAACAATGTCTACAGACATTGACAAATGTCCACTGTTGGAGGGAGGGGTAAACTCACCCCCTCCCTGGTTGGGGAGCCCAGCTTTACACTAAATATCATTAGTCACTAATAGGTGTTGTATAAATGAATTGATCATTTGAGAATTCATTGTTCAAACTCCCTGATATGATGGCAAGACAACTCAGGGTTGCTGGTTTGTTGTTACTGTTGTTTTTCTCTAGACTCTAAGGTTAAACCTCTGTGAGGAAACAAATAGCCAACAGATGGTAGTCAGGTATCGCAATCACCCCTCAGTCACGGAGCTCATCTCCAATGTGACCTCCAACATCAGGTTTACTAATGAGGAAGAATGTAATTTCAGGAGGTCATGACTGTATTGTGGCGTTTGCGTTTGTCATGAAGGCTTGAAAAGAGAATGTTTTCTCCACATAGATATATTAGGTGATTTAAATATTGGCTTGTATATTCTGGGGAAAAAAATAGATTGCCTATTATTTATGGAGAGATGTAATGAAAAACTAGGAAAAAAATAAATATACATGAATTTGAAATAACTTCTTATTCTGAGGGAAAAACAAGGTTGAGAGAGAAGTAAAATCATTTAATCAGCCCAGGTTCCCTTTCTGCCTTGGCCACCAAATTCCACAGGCTGTCTTCGATAATTATTTCACATGGTGTCACATTCTCGTTTAGAACCTGAGTGCTGGTGTAGAGTGAATTCTTGACTGGCGTGTTTGTGTTTTGACAAGCCTAGTATACAATTCTACAAAAATAATTTTGAAATACCTTACGTAGGATGCTATAAAACACAGAATTCCATTATGTTATCTTCAATAGTAATGTTGAAAGTGGGTGCTTATTATATTTTTAGAGTGAATAACTGCATTTAATGATATTCAGTGGTCTCTTAGATGTTTCTAGACTTTTAAATAAATAAGGTAAAATTACACTATATGAGTTTGCTTTCTTTAGACTTCTCATCTCTTTAAACTTTTCTCTTTTTTTTATTTTAAAAGAAACATAGTATACCTACCATTTTTCCTTGTTGCAAAATGTAAGGCTAAGTATCCCACATGAATTGGTATTTTGTGCAGCCATTATGCCTAGCGAGGTCTATTTGCTTGGAGAAATTTTCTTTTTAATGCATCTCTAATCTTTCCCATTTTAGAAGCATTTTAATCATCGCCACTATCTCAAATACTGTCCCTAGAATTGTAGGAGCACAATGAATACTAATTTATTTTCAAAAATCCCTGTGAGTTGCTTGTACCCGAAGCCCCTGGAATGTGTTGCTGTTTTCCCAGGTTTCCAGTTATATTGTCTATTGAGAATCACTGCAGTATCCAGCAGCAAAGGAAGATTGCTCAGTACCTGAAAGGAATCTTCCGAGACAAGTTGGACCTGTCATCTGTAGACACAGGAGAGTTCAAGCAGCTTCCAAGCCCTCAAAGTTTGAAAGGCAAAATTCTAGTGAAGGTAATTACTTCAAGTAATGCAATATAAGGTAATAATTATCAATTAAGTTTGCCCTCCCTTAAAGAATAAAAACTGGTTTCAAAGGAGAATAATAATTAGAATCAATACCTGAAGGATTGTCTAGGTCTGTGTATGCATCTTACTCCAATTTATTTTTAGTCATGTCTTCAGAAGAAGCCTATTGACTGAACACCTATTCTGGGATTTGTTCTTATGAAGTGAAAACATCAATACTGTGAGCCAAATGTTTGATATTTATGTCTGTAATAGTTCACACTGTAGAGAAATGTGTGCATAAGACCGTGAGGTTTAGGAGAGGAGGAGGCTCTGTGTCTCCATCTCTGAAAACATTTCTTTCAGACTTTTTTCTCCCATTTCAAGCTCCAATAACTGTCTGTCAAAAAAAAAAAAAAAAAAAGTCTTCATGGTTGATCAGTCTTGGTTATGCAAGTGAGAAGAGCTCTCTTCAAAGACGAACATGGGCACAGACATAATGCCCCTCAGGACTCATGGGTATGAGATGGAGCAGTAGGTGAATAGAATGACATTTCATAAACAGATTTTCTCAGAGAGGAAACTCACTACAATAAATTGTATTCATGCAAGGAATAGCCAGAAAGACAGTTCTTTGGGTTTTCAGATGGTTGACTTTGTGGTTTACTTATTGCCAGTGAATTTTGCATATTTGGGCTAAAACCACCTTGGGTGATGACATTGTTTTGTGATTTAAAACCTAAGGACAGGCAGTAGGGTATTAATATTCAAAATGGTTCATATTGTACTTAAAAGGGGTAATTACAAAGAAACAGCTATCACATAGGAGGGGCAGCAAAACTGAGGAGACAATTTCATGGCAAGACTAGCCAGGACTGGAAGGGAGGCAGCACATGGAAAAGATAGAAGGTGTTCTTCTTTAGAATTGGTCAAAACCTGTGTTTCTGTCAATGAAGTGAAATTGTAGATTCTGAATCTGTCAGAGCGGTGTATATGTGTAAAGCATTTTTGAATAAAAGCTCCAAATAATGCAAGAGATAACATGAAGGCCAGTTTGCTTAAGTCTTGCTAAAGTGAACTCATTGGTAAAAACTGATTTCTGAGGCAGGGCACAGTGGCTCATGTCTGTAATCCCAGCACTTTGCGAGGCAAGGCAGGAGGATCACTTGAGCCCAGGAGTTTGAGACCAGCCTGGGCAGTACAATGAGACCTCATCTCTACAAAAAAAATTAAAAAATTAGCTGGCCGTGGTGGTGTGCGCTTATAGTCTCACTACTCAGAATGCTGAGGCAGAAGAATGCCTGAGCCCTTGAGGATGTGGCTGCAGTGAGCCATGATCATGGCGCTGCACTCCAACCTGTGTGACAGAGTGAGTCCCTGACTCAAAATAGAACAAACAAAAACCCCCTGATTTCTGGGTTAGGGAATGAAATGACATCTTTACAGCCTTGCAAATATTTCCTAAGTATTCTTTAGCCAGTAGTCAGAGGGTAAATTGCAGAATAAGTCCATTTGATTGAGATCTTTCTCTTTTGGACAGGAAAATTAAGATGGCTATTTGATGTGAACTAAATGAGTCCCTTCTGCATAACTGGACTTTGAGTCATTTGGCACACAGTATCCCAGGGCTTATTGCCTCAGGATGAAAGGGCAGAAGGTCTGAGACACTCACTGGAAGGGGTGGCAGATGTGAACTGGAAGCATTTCCAGGAACCTGAGGTCTACTCACTAGTTAAAGCTCTTTAGACTTTTTTTTTTTTTTTTGAGTTGGAGTCTCACTCTGTCGCCCAGGCTGGAGTGCAGTGACACGCTCACAGCTACCCCAACATCAACCTACTGAGCTCCAGTTATCCTTCCGCCTCAGCCTTCCAAGTAGCCAGAACTACAGGTGCACGCTACCACGCCCAGCTAATTTTTTTGTTATTTATTATAGAGACAAGATCTTGCCAAGTTGCCTGGGCTGGTCTTGAACCCGTGGGCTCAGGCAATCCACTCGCCTTGGCCTCCCAAAATGCTGGGATTACAGGCTGAGCCCGGCCAGCTCTTTAGAGTTTGAGACGATGTGGACCTGTCTTTTGGGACCCAAGGACAAGCAACCCCCATTTAAAGCAAAAACAAAGGAACTGACTTTCCTGTGTTCCGTTAGCATCAGAGTGATCTCTGATCCAAGAGGCAACATTTGAATGTCTACTTTCCACTTTGGAGATTTACAAGTTGTTTATTAGTATAACTATTACATATATGCTTTCCAACCATGTGTATATACACATTCCCATATATATAAATTTCCTGAAAAACACAAAGGGGTCTTTTTGTTGCAGTTCATGTTATTGCACTTTGTAGATACTGCTTTTTCTTTCTTTGTTTTTTTACATATTGAAGGTTTGTGGCAACCATGTGTTGAGCAAGTCTATTGGCACCATTATTTCAAAAACATAGGCTTACTTTGTGTCTGTGTCACATCTTGGTAATTCTTGTGATATTTCAAACTTTTTCATTATTATCTTTTATAGTAATCTGTCATCAGTTGCCTTTGATGTTACCATTGAAATTGTCTTGGGGTGCCATGATTTGCTTCCATATAAGATGAAGAACTTGATTGATAAATATTGCTTGTGTCCTGACTGCTCCATGCACTGGTCTTTCTCCCTCTCCTTAGGCTTCCCTATTTTCTTAGGAACAATGATATTGAAATTAGATTATTGGTAACCCTACAATGGCCCCTAAGTGTTCAAGTGAAAGGAAGATTCACATAACTCTCACTTCAAGTCAAAAGCTAGAAATGGGCTGGGCGTGATGGCTCATGCCTATAATCCCAGCACTTTGGGAGGCAGGGGTGAGAGGATTGCCTGAGCCCGCGGGTTTGAGACCAGCCTGGGCAAATTGGCGAGACCTCATCTCTACAATAAATCAAAAAATTAGCTGGGTGTGGTGGCACATGCCTGTAGTTCCAGCTATTTGGCAGCCTTGACCTGAGCCCAGCAGGTCAAGGCTGCAGTGGTCGTGAGCGTGCCACTGCTCTCCAACCTGGGCGACAGAGTGAGACTCCAACTCAAAAAAAAAAAAAAAAAAAAAGCTAGAAATGATTAAGCTTAGTGAAGAAAGCACGTCAAAAGCCAAGACAGGCCGACAGCTAGCCCCCAGTTAGCCAAGTTGTGAATGCAAAGGAGAGGTTCTTGAAGAAAATTAAAAATGCCTTGCCAGTGAATGCAAAATGATAGAAAACCAAAACAGTCTATTACTGATATGGAGAAAGGTTGAGTAGTCTGGGTAGATAGTCAAACTAGCCACTACATTTCCTTAAGCCAAAGCCTAATCCAGAGCAAGACCCTAACTCTCTTCAATTCTATGATGGTTGAAAGAGGTGAGGAAGCTGCAGAAGAAAATTGAAGCTGTCTCCATAACATACAAATGCAAGGTGAAGCAGCAAGTGCTGATGGAGAAGCTGCAGTAAGTTATTCAAAAGATCTAAGAGAACCAATGAAGGTGGCTACATTAAACAACAGATTTTCAATGCAGACAACACAGCCTTCTGGAAAAAGATGCCATCAAGGACTTTCATAGCTAGAAAGGAGAAGTAAATCCTTGCAGGGACAGGCTGACTCTCTTGTAAAAATTAATGAAGGTGGTGACTTTAAGTTGAAGCCAGTGCTTATTTACCATTCTGATAACCCAAGGGCCCTTAGGAATTATGCTAAATCTACTATGACAGCACATCTTTTTACAGCATGGTTTACTGACTATTTTAAGCCCACTAGTGAGACTTACTTCTCAGGAAAAAAGATTCCTTTCAAAATGCTACTGCTTATTGACAATGCACCTGGTTACCCAAGAGCTCTGATGGAGAGGTACAGGAGGTTAATATTGTTTTTATGCCTGCTAGCACAATATCCATTCTGCAGCCCATGGATCAAGTAGTAATTTTGACTTTCAAATCTTATTATGTAAGAAATGTGTTTTGTAAGGCTGTAACTGCCATAAATAGTGATTCCTTTGATGGGTGTGGGCAAAGTAAATTGAAAACCTTCTGGAAAGGATTGACCGTTCTAGATGTCATTAAGAACATTTGTGATTTATCAGAGAAGGTCAAAATATTAACATTAACAGGAGTTTGGAGGAAGTTGATTCCAGCTCTTATAGATGACTTTCAGGGGCTCAAGACTTCAGTGGAGGAAGTCACTAAATATGTGAAAATAGCAAGAGGACTAGAATTAGAAGTAGAACCTGGAGATGTGACCGAATTGCTGCAGTCTCACAATCAAACTTGAATGGATGAGGCGTTGCTACTTATGCATGAGTGAAGACAGTGGTTTCTTGAGATGGCGTCTACTCCTGATGAAGATGTTGTAAATTTTTTTTGTTGAGTTAGGGTCTCACTCTGTCGCCCATGCTAGAGTGCAATGGCACAATCACAGCTCACTGCATCCTTGACCTCCTGATCTCAGGCGATCTTTCTGCTTCAGCCTCCTGAGTAGCTGGGATTACAGGCACATGCCACCATGCCTGGCTAATTTTTTGAATTTTTGTAGAGACGCAGTCTCGCTATGTTTCCTAGGCTGGTCTTGAACTCCTCAGCTCAAGCAAATTTCCCATCTCAGCCTCCTAAAATGTTGGGATTACCGGTGTGAGCCACCATGTCTGGCTGACATTGTTGAATGACAACAAAGAAATTAGGATCTTACATAAACTTAGTTGATAAAGTATCAGCAGGGTTTGAGAAGATTGACTCTAATTTTGCAAGAAGTGCTACTGTGGGTAAAATGCTGTCAAAGCATAAGATGACCACAGAGAAATCTTTTGTGAAAGGAAGAGTCAATCCATGTGGCATACTTCATTGTTGTCTTATTTTCAGTAACTGCTACAGCCACCCCAATCTTCAGCAACCACCACCCTGATCAGTCAACATGGAGGCAAGACTCTTTACCACCAAAATGATAATAACTCACTGAAGGCTCAGATGGTCATCAGCACTTTTTAGCAGAAAATTTTTTTTTTTTTTTTGAGTT